CCCCCCCCCCACCTTCCCCCTAAGATAACCTTAAATTATGCATTCGGGGAAGTTGGGAGAGTAAAAACTAACCGAATGGGATATTTCAATCAGTGCATGGGGGCAGATAACTTGGAGGTTAATAGCTTCCAGTAGGCAAACGAACATCTGCTTCAACTTGAAATAATATCTCAGGCATAAAGTACATGTTTAAAATATTGTACATTTCAATACTCTTCAATTTGATTATAAAGATAATGTGCGTGTTCACATTCAACCAGGCCATAACAAAGGAGAATGGGGTTAGGAGATTTGGCCATTACAATTTTGGATTCGCATTGAATTTGAAGTCCACATTGAGGACAACAAATAGTTCCCTGCGGGTCCAGAGCAACGGGAATCTCGTGGTTAATGTATATGCAATACTTTCGTTTCTATGAAGTAATGTGATGTCCAGTTACATCCACATACAGGTTGGACCCAAGAAAGGTAAAAAGAGAAATAGCTAAAACGAAGTTATAGCCGAGAGGGGTGCGCAATAGACTTACCTCCACGTGGTGCACCCTGGGCAACGTATACTCACACGGCAAAAAAGTCTGTTAACCGGCAGTTGACTTCTTACTTCAAACTACCAAGATCCCACTGTATGTCATATTCGACCCCTTCACAGTACTCATCTTACCTTTTTTATGCCTTTGTGTCTGTCTGTCTGTCTCTTTTGCATCTGTGAATCACTCTTCTGTTCTCCCACTCGACTTTTTGCCACTTTGATGTTCCTTCTCCTCTCTGTGAAGCCCCGAAGTCAGCTCCAGGGCTAATGATAACTATCAAAACGCCTGCCATTTGATATAAATAAAGTTATAGCCGAGAAAATAAGTCAGTACATACATTGTTGACAAATAATTAGCTGTCTATAGAGACAATATTTCCCATGGTAATTTCTTCACAGTGTATAAGAGACAGTGTCTATGGGCTGCTCTCCAGTGGCCTGAAAATACTAGATCATGCCTCCTAATATTTTGATCCAAACGTCTTGGTGACACCTAGTAGATGAATGAGTCTATGGGTTAGTCAAGTGGCTAACAAGTTATAAAGATTGCAAGCTTGAACTCTCTTAAATATCTTGCGATAGAATCCAGAAATGTCCACCTTGGAAACTCAAAACACGAAGCAATGAGCTACACAAGATCAGAAACAACTGGGAGCCTGAATAAATCCGAATTAAATTGGAGGAAGATCCTTTCGATATCCCGATTTTTTCCTCCACTTTCGACTGATCCTCTCCCCCTCCCCCCCCCCATTACTCCTGATCAAATTATGTTATATTCAATCATCTATTCTCATTATTAAAACTCATAATTACTTTTTACATGATATGAACAAAGGATTCTTCAAGTTTTTAATCTAAGCAGGTTTTATCTCCCTCTCATATCTTCGAAATTCAGTCCCCACGATAGACTCAAGTTATTTAGGAGTAGAATACACATTTCAATCAACACATGGAGATGATAACATCGAAGTTATCTGCTCTTTACTTTTAGCCGTCAGACCTGAACGCATCCAAAGGAACACGGTACCTTAAACACAAAAGTTTATTTGAAAAAGGACATTAAAATCACTTAATTTGAGTGGATAGTTTATTGTTCCCAGAAGTCGAATTAACAAAGAGGTTATATTAAGGGATAACAAACCAACAGAGGGATTGTTCAGACGATTTTTTTTCTATTTTTCTTAATGTGGAGACTCATAGCAAAAATGAAAATGATGATAAATTCAGATAAATTGCTAGAGTTATCTTGCAGAAGATCAGTGACTCCAAAATCTTTCACAATGGGAAATTTTTGCAACCCCCCCCCCCCCTTAAGAGGAACAGTTTACTTCCTTGTGATTAGGAATTTCACAAATATATGGGGATAAAGGGCACTTAGAATATGTTCACATACTTCAGTCTATTGTAAACTCAACTCAAATAGCCACTGGAAGATAACTTCCAAAAGAGGATGGAACAGAATTTGGAGGGGTGAAATAAAATTTCTCCAAGTTAATTTGGACCAACACTTCTTGTTCATATAATAGATGTACACAGCTTAAAAAACTTGTTCGCACATAAGATTAGTCACATAAATCATTAATTTTTGTCGACAAAATGTTTATTTCATTTTTTGAGAAAACATCAGACATCGACTTGCGACGACCGGAGCATTTCATTTCGTTTAAAAATTTTAACGTAAGAAATTCCTGTGTAGTAGAACGCTAAGAATTGATGATGACGAACATAGATAAATAAAGCATGTTCACTTATGTCTCACCAGTGCTCGCATAATCTGAAATTTTCCATAAAACTCGAAAATGCTTACAGAAATTTGTGTCGACGTAGGAGTTCACCTCCATTTGTTGAACGTCGTATCATGAATCCACAAAGAACACCTTGAATTGTCCTTAACTCAATGAAGCAAAAAATTCGCCAATGGTAAAAAAGGAACTTGTTTAACTAGATATGCTCAAGAAGTGACATGGATATTTAGATCATATGCTTCGAAATCTACCGGCTCAAATCAGAAAATAAGTAACCCATTAATTTGAATAACGTTCGATTTGAACACGAATTCAACTTGAATTACAACGATTCCGAGGTATATTGAAATGTAAATTAAACTATGGATAAAAGGCAAGTGGAGGAAAATGTTTGACTTCCATGTTTAAAATCTTTGACTCCCAATTAAAAATGCACAGTGCAAGATAATTTTAAGTAAAAGGCCGAATTTGTATCAAATGGGTGAAGACATCTCACAGATTGCTGGCAATAGTAACTTTTCGTGAAACTTCATTGTACCAATAAAACATTCCAATGCTCGTGGTCAATAAGTAAACAAATCAATTAACATACTTGTCATATCTGGGCTTTTGTTCCGATTGTATTTATAATAATTATAATTATTTACTAAATCTAAGAGTCAGTTACCTGCTGGAAGTAGAAATCGTATCTGATGTGAAAAAAATTCCTGCAGATGTTATTTACCCATAAAACAGGATACGAAGAAAAATTTTGACTTGAAATGTAATACAAGAACTTGAAAATATTTTTGTCAAACGGTTCATTTCTCCTTTAATTCAATATCAGTTTAAGAAATTCTGCTTAATTCCGGTAGAATTAGATTTCATATAAAATTTCTATTCTTGTAAAGAACCTATTTTCACTATATAAATAGCAAGAAAAGAGGCCTCATCAATGGCTTTGGAAAGGCGATATAGAATAAAGCAGGTCGATTATTGATCAAAGAGTTTTATAGTTAATCGCAGCTTTTCCCCCGTAGGAACCAACTTGTGGTTTAACTAAATATGAAGACAGCGAGAAATCGTCTCGAATAATGCTGAGATTATAAAATCTTACTAATTAATGGAAAATAAATGAAAATTGAATCACTTTAATTCGTTAGTCTAAACGCAAACAAGAGTACGATAGTTTGAAATAGGTTATGTAGAGTTGAAATACAATGACAAAGCTATATATGTTATTGGAATTGATAAACTTTTGATCACGATATAAAAGTAACTAAATTAATAAAGAAGTTTGTTTTAATATTCTTTAAAAATTTAATATTTTAATTGTTTTAATAAACATTGCGGGTACCGCGTGGTTTCAGTGCCATAGCTATCTGCCTTATTTATTATTATTCATTAGGAATCTCATGCTCTCTCAACTCTCCCGATAAAATATGGCCGTGCTTGATCTTGAAAAGGATGTGGGAGTAGACAACTGTATCGGAAATAAATTCAACAAAAAGTATATTCCACAAGAAATAATAGGTACCGGTGCGAGCAGTACGGTGCGTCGATGCATTTTGAAGGATACGAAAGAGGAATTTGCTGTAAAAGTTTTGGATTTAAATAGTGGAGTTGATACAAATGAAGTACTCCGAGCAGAATGTATGCGAGAAGTCTCCATCCTTCGCAAGGTTGCTGGCCACCCCAACATAATTAAACTTCAAGATGTTTTCGAGGAAGATGCTTATGTCTTTCTAGTTTTTGAGCTGTATGCTTTCTTATATTTGTTCTTATGTTCCATTTATTTAGTTGCAAAGGCGGAGAGCTCTTTGATTACTTGACGAAAATGGTCACTCTCTCTGAGAAGCGAACTCGTCTCATAATGCGTCAAATGATTGACGCTCTTAATTACATTCATTCAAAAGGAATCGTTCATCGTGATCTCAAACCCGAGAATATTCTTATGGATGCTGACATGAATATCAAAATTACTGACTTTGGTTTAGCTGTTTTTGCTACTGACATTGCTGAGCTTCAAGGTATTCTACGTGAAGATTGCTTACCGATATATCCTATTTAGAAACCCGTGGAACACCTGGTTATCTTGCCCCAGAAGTTCTTCGGTGTGGTTATTATGAGGGCCAGCCTCCTTATGGCCAACCGGTTGATGTCTGGGCTTGTGGAGTTATCATGTATACCCTTCTTGTTGGATTTCCCCCATTTTGGAATCGAAAAGAATACCTGATGCTCAGACAAATCATGCAGGGTAACTACTCCTTCCCTAGTCCTGAATGGGACGAAATTAGTGATACTGCCAAAGATCTCGTAAGTTTTATTATTTTCCGTACTAGTACATCTTACTGTCACGTTCACCTTTGTTATTGGGTTATAAGTTGGCTTCTTATTGATTAAACCAATTTTGGCTGCTTCGTTTTGATTGCTCGGCTGACGATATGATTGGCTGGGAGATTTTGTAACTGATATCCAATAGTTTTTGGGAATGGAATGATTTTAGATGGTGCTAATGAGCATTAGGAATGCAAGGCTTGGCCGTCACGTACGCAACTACGGACGCACCCAGAAGGGTTGGTGCACGCATTGTAGACGCACTTCGCACGTGAATTTGCGTAATACTTTTGGCTGTTCATTGTGCAATTCGTGTTAAAAGAAGATGTGCGAAGAAAAACCGAAAGCATCCATACGAAATTCAGCACCCTTGATTTGACATTTTGCCTCCTTTTGTAAATTGGTTGTTAGAATTTGGCTTTTGTCCGTTCTATTTTCTAATTGGCAGTCTATTTATTAAGATTTAACGTTTTGCTAACAAGACGATCTTGATTAAGTTAAATCTTTTTCAGATAACTGATTGCAATAATTTCAGTCAAAACAAAGTATACATGATTTGGTTTATTTTATTTGGTTATTTGTTGACGTCTGTGAATTCGATGCCCTTATTATGACCACATTCGGTAGGCCTTTGATGTACATTCTAGGAGTATCGGCCCTTGAATCGTCATCACCGTGTGTTCTGATACATTGCATAACTATGGGCAACTGATTTTGCATTAATAACTGGGACTACCTTCTATCCACCCAAGCGTCCTCTTTGGTTTTAATTAGTTTATCTTCGATGCAGTGCAATCAATGTCGCAACATTTAATCACGATTAAACCAATGAGCAGCGTTATGTGATACTCCTTAATTGATTACTACTTTTAATGCACGTTCATCTGGATTTACTTCTTTAAAACTAGAGTCGATTCACAAATAAACAGTCTGTTTTTTAGGTCACAAAAGCTTGTCTGACCGCTAGTGTTTCCAGTCTGGAAATTTATTTTGAAGTTGACCAAATTTGTTTTAGCTAGTTACAAATTAATTTCAATCATGTGTGCCTGATGGCCAAACTTTCTATCTCCTCCCCCTTTCATTCACGGTGATCCATTTTTTGGATCTGATCTGACTCATGAAATCAGCTCTGGCTAATTGGCATGTTTAACAGCTTTGTGAAAGTTCCATGAGGCTAGTGTTCTTGCTGGCCATTATGTACTTTGATCCGATAGAATCATTTATAAACAACAGCTAAAATCAAGATCACGTGGTCTCACAGACTGCTTTATCTAGATATTTTCTACATGATCTTGTGTGTGTATTTATTTCCTCAAGTCTTTTATAACCACAATAATGCAAATAATTAGCAATTTTAATTGTGATAAACAGCTGAAAGTTCAATGAATGATGAAGGGACAGGAATCAAAAAAACTGCCTAGATCAAGGTCAGTACATCATGATCTTGCTTCCTTCGATGCTTCACCTACTTATTTTATTTCCAGTTTCCTATTTCATGAATCGTCCCCTGGATTCCAGCAAATGGTTGTCTGCGGCGTTTAGTGATGGCTGGCCTGCTTGTAATCAAGAAGGGTTTGTCCTGCCACCTTGCTTTTTATTTCTGTCCAATGGTTGCGAAAGCATCATGCTCTAGGGTAATATTAGGCAGCTTATGCTTTTACTATAGCAGTTAGCAAATTTAATTTGTCGGAGCTCTATGGTCTGCTTTCACTTAGAATACGTTAGATATGAAATAAAAGGATGCGCTTATGTTACGGATTTGTCATTAGTCACCTTCCAATTTTCCATGATTTCCCTATTTTCAAGAAATTTGTGGTTTCGTTTTGGAAGCTATTTGCATTCCTGCTTCCCTCGTCTATATCATTGGGTTTTATTAATAATTTCCAGAGACTTCAATGGAAGTCGAACTATGCCATTTTATATGCTTTTATTATTCACTTTAATTTTCTACTTTAGTGAATAGCGTGGGTATCACTAGGTTACCGTGATCATAACATACTACCTTCATTTTACCATCCTAATACTTGCGAACGTAATTGATTAATTTATTCAATCACATAGCTCATTTGTTTATTGCTTCTGAAGTTAGAGCAGCCCAAGTGATAGTTCACGTAAAAGAAAACGAAATCATTTTGAGACATCGGTTATAACGCGCTGCTTTCAATGTACATTCTATTACCTTGTGTGTGTTGATTAACATAACTGCCTTGTTTAGACCTTATACTACCCTGTAAGCGGAGTAAAACGATCTGGCAAATTAATAACACCTTTTGTATAAAAGACATCATTTTTGAGACAATATGCATAAGGTACGCTCTTCAGTATACAGCAATACGTTTATTTGGAATTGTTATCTTCCACACGACCGTGACTTGTCCACTCATTTGCTTCGCTAGCCTGTTTATCACAGGCGGAACTCTGTATCCAACGTTTTATCTTGTTTGGGTAACTGAAATGAAGGCCACCAATTTGCTTTGCTACCAAATGATTGAAGTTAATGAACCAAAACCAGATCACAGAAGCTAAGAATGCAGCAGCCAATAAGAGCAAATGACTGTTCAAAAAATTTAGAACACAGAGAGTTGTGTGGGCAAGGGCGTATTGGATAAACAACGATGAGGAATGCAGCGAATAACTGACAAACGAGTGTTTTAACTGCTAACATGCTTAGTACTTGAATTCAATTGATTTTACATTACCTGCATAGTATTTGTCACCGATTGGTTGGGAAGTGTCCGTATACACCACTGCATTTTCCAGAATATTCTAACTCCTGAGAAGTCTCTTTGGTCAGCCTTGTCAGCTTTGTACAGTACGGAATTATCCCCCCCCCCCTCAGGTTAAAGTAAACTACTTGTGCGTATACGATGACTCTGTGAAGAAATCGAGGTCACTAGAGTATTTGGCGCCACAGTGATCGAGATAGTTAGGTATCAAAGATTAGTGATGACCGAGGTGGAAATTTTGGACGCAAATATAAGCACAGCCTACAATCTCGCCTTTCCTTGTAGATTCGTTCAATGCTAATTGTGGACGCCTCTCAGCGTATCAAGCCCATTGATGCTCTCTCCCACGACTTCTTCAAACAAATCATCACCGCTCCCACACCAACCAAATTCCATGGCAGGCGGAAGTTCAGGGTGAGTTTCGATGTCACCATTTACTGTGACCTGAGGGATCAGCCTTCAATTGCTCCAACCTCATAGTGCTTCAGTTTGGTCCAGCCTACTTCTTACATGCTTGAGATTTATAGTTGTCTTATTACAACGCCTCAATCAGTGCTGTACAGAGTCGACAGCACCAAGTCACAGACTCTAAGCACTTGCGAGATAAGCACTTCATATCATGGTTATTTCCAACCTAGTTAATGCGCAACTGGATGTTGGTTTGAATACCCATACATATAGTTTAAATGAATCCCCTTCCATGGGTTCAGCTGTTAATTATGTCCTCCAAGTGGCTTGTCAGTAGGGGCCTATCTTAACCCCCCCCCCCCCCTATTTCTCTGCTGTAGAGCTAGCTTTTTCCAAGAGATAAATAAGGAACAAGTCAATCTTAGTGACAGAACTAGATCTCCTGGTCTTCCTAGTAGCATTTACAGGTCTTGACGTAGTCAGCTATAAACGGAGTTAAGATTTTTCTATTTAGAAGTATACTTATTGTTGTAATTATAGTGTAAGGAGGGGGGGGGGGTTGAGGTGGTTGATCCTGCAAATGATGACTAAGTTCTTTGGGGATATTTTCATGTTCGAGATGATTTTAATTAAAACGAGCAAAGATGTGAGCTCGCATCTAGTGTCTTCTCAAACTCCCTAAGTCCAAATTATCGATGACCTATTATTATTATCATTATTAAAATAATTTCAGTTACTAATAAGTCTTCATGGCATTTACATATTTGGTGCATTATGAGGATTGGAACGCTTCAAGCAGCAATGCTTTTCGCAGGAATTCTTTTCTATCTCTTGCATGACTAGTCTTTGGTATTATTTAATGGATCTGTTATTACTCGTATTGTCTTCCATTACTAGCCACAGTAATACGAAAAGTAATAAATTTCTTAGTGAGAGAAGCAACTGAAATCGGGTAACAGAAAGGCCAATTGATGATTGGGGGGGGGGGGGANTTTCCCCCCCCCCCCCCCCCCCACCTCCATGGATCGCAGGGACTGTTTGTCTACTATGTTTGGTGCTTATTCATTGCTATTATTTCTTTCCATTTTTGCCCTTGGTGGAGAAGGTAAAATGATGTTATCTGATATTCCTCAGCAAGCAGTCTTAAGGTAGCAGAAATTGAGAGCTATCAGTTTAATCAGAACTCTATAGAGTTTGTTTGCCCAAGATGAATATTTAAACACTCTTTTTTCCTGCTTAGTCGGCATATCGAGTGCTTCTGTTCATTCGAATGCTAAAAGATCTCCGAGCCAACGGAACCACCCTCTCATTGCACAAACTCTCCACTGACCCCTATTCCAATAAGCGCCTACGCAAGTTGATCGATGCGCTAGCCTTTGACGTGTACAGCCATTGGATCAAACGAGGTGATGAGCAAAACCGTGCTGCCCTCTACGAGAACAATCCACACTCTGAACAGGTCCAAGCAGCCCAAGCATCCTTCGAATTTCACCCTGATCTCATAAAGAGTGTCGGAGGGGGTGATCAAGGGGCATTCGCTTCCGATGATCATGTTTTCAATGAGAATTCTGGCGTTCGGTGGTAGGGTGGCCTATCGATTGCACGCTCTATCCTCTCTCTCTCTCTCTCTCTCTCTCTCTCTCTCCCTCTTTTTAGTTACCAGATGTCATCACTCGCCATGACAATCAATATCTGACCCCTCCCCCCTTCCCCCATTTCCCTCTCATTTCATACCGTTACACAGTATTTATATGTTTATTTTGAGTTTGGTTGATTGGCTCCTCTCCATTTGCATGCTTGTACACACCATCACTCACCGCTCACTGAACAACATAAGCCGACATAGGAGAAAAGTACCTCATTAACTTCCCGATGAAAATCAAGCTTTTTTGTGAAATCGGGAATAAGAAGAAGATTATATCATGACAATCATGACAATTACAGTTCGCGTTCTTTTATCATTTTTGACTTGGATTGGTGGGATATTCGATACAGTCAACAATGAGATTGCAGTATTCTTAATTCTTAACAGTTCTGTGTGCCCGATAGTCTCGCGATTAGATACAATAATGCTTCTAATAATCGGTCTCGGATGGGAATCAGTCAAATTTGAGCTAACACGGTCTTGCGGCGCTAATTATAGTGTTTTGAATAATCGGTGAATTAAGTAATTGTATATTAGCCTAGACTCGGAGATTTTTAGGGGGTTCGAACTTTTAAGTTATCAGGTAAAAGTGAGATTTCTATTGGTCGTGTTTAGTGGGGATCGGACTTAGCGGGTAAGGTTTTGCATTTTTCCTGGGTCCCTTTTTGCTCCGGGTCTCTCCCCTTCCAGTCTTCACGGCGCAGAGAAGGGAGAGATCGAGGTTAGAGAGCGCATTTTGACAGCATAGTGATTGCGTAAGGAGGCGGGAGATTTATGTGAATGCAAAGGTGCGGAAATAAGAACGAATATGTCTGCCTAAATTAAAACACATATATCAAATGGCAGGCGTTTGAATAGTAATCATAAGCCCTTTAGTTGACTTCAAGCTTCACAGGGTAGAGCCTTGTCGGCGTACTCGATGTTGATAGGTTATTAATCGGGGTTGTACCTTGCTAGCTGTGAAATTGTCCACCTAAATCGCCAGATCGAGTTTCCGACCATCCCAAATAGTTAGGCGCAAAGAAAAAGTCTTACATTGTTTAGATTTTAATTTTCCTGAAAATTTATGCAACGTAATTCAATGTCTTCTTCATTTTGAGTTAAGCATCAGGTAAAGTGACACCGAAACGGGTAAATAAGGAAGTGTTTTTAAGTCGACGTTATGGCAACGGTAAAAATTACATCAATAATCCTCAAGTGTATGGTGCAGTGTTAACAGCAATTGAAACTTAATTGTAAGGCGCCTTTAATTTTTGATTTATTATGAAAGGCTCGGAGTTAATCTGCCCAGTTCATTGAATGTGTTCCACTGAACCTCGAACCTCTGACTTCCTCTCTCTTACCACAAGCAAACATAGAATGCTTCATTACAATCTGGAACCACTGATATTCCAATTTATTGATGTAACTACCATGCTTTAAACATTTCGGAAATAAAATTTGCACCTTTTTGGACGCGTATTC